CTTTAATCATTTAGTTCATCTTTTGCATGTGTCTACCTTGACTACCAATAAGGATATCCTAGTCTTTTGTACTTATACCTTGTTACCTTTGGTTATTGCATTGGGTAGTATGATGCTAGTGCTCAACTACAACCATGATTTTGTAACTTGACTAATGGTATATGCAATAAACATTAAAAAAATGCTTTTTAGCAACATGGAACCAGGGGGCTAGAGCATTAGGCTGTTTTATGGTGCTCTAGATTCCTCTCCATAAGGACTTATCTGTAAGTGATCATCCGGGACTTACAGTACAGCTGTGAGGGCTATATGGCTCTGGCTTTAGCTCAGTATGAGGACCTTTTATAGCTTGTTAGTGGTTACCTTTATTTGCGTAAGAATGGCTTGCCGAATCTGGTATAGTGCGGCCTCTATCCCCATGTGTATAGGCTGCGTGTCAATGTGCCATCGGGAAGGGGGGGCTCTACATCTGTTTGCCGAGTGAATCTAATGGCCCTAACTTGTTAGACGAACCTTTGAAAGGCTTCATAGTGAACCCTGCCAACCTTCCTTGGTAGTGGGTCAAGAGGCTGATCACCTCGGGTGAAAAGGTAAATCACGACTCACAGTGAAAGTGTACAACCTCTGCAGAGTGTAAAATTGGTATATCAGCCGTGCTCACGGTCACGAGCGGCCTTGGAACCCTTACGGAATAGATGATGAACACTGATGATATGGATGATGAAGATACTCACTAATGGTTAATTGTTTATGCTATTCATTACTAATGTTTACCTGATCATGTGTTTATATGGGCTGGTGATAAAATTGTTGCTACTCAATTGCTAAAAGATGACTCATTAAAAGCTAATCGCAGTTGAACCAGTGTCATCCTTTTGAGCCTCATGAACCCCATGTTATATTTGTTGAGTACGACATGTACTTACGCTTGCTTTATTTTTCACAGATTTGGATAAAAATTCCGGATGGGTACCAGATTGTAGAGTTTGGAGGAATTAGGCTTGTGGTCAACCAGTCAGTTGTCCTTGTGGATTTGGAGTACTCGCCTGAAGATCGGAGTTGTCTTTCCGCTATCTATACTCTGAGGTTATACTCTTTATACTAATACGCTATGTATTTAAGCATTGCCTTTTGATATTACCCTTATTTGTAGCTATATGTGAGATTTGACTTCCTGAGCTCACATATGGTGTGTATCTGGTTTTGTTCTTAAAATCAGGTGCTACAGATCGAGATCCAGCAATGCAATTTTTGTCGAGTCCGTGGCTCCGCGTGCCCCGGCCCTCCTATGGCATCGTCTCCTCAAGACCTTAGGCAGGCAGCGACGGCTACATGGAAACCCTAGCCGCCACCGCACTCCAGTCATCGTCGTGCACAGGCCCAAGTGGAGCAGCGGCAAGTCGATGTCGTCCCTCCAGTTGCCGTGGGGGCGTCCTGCCTCCCGGAACACCAGCCGTCGTAGGACCCCAAGGCGCCCCCGCGGCCATCTAGGCCGGCCCCGCCGGCAACTCAGGCAACCCCGTGCGGCCACTGCCGGCCGTTCGGGCCGCCATAGGCCCCCAGGCCCGCCCTCGAGGAGGAGTATGGCCTTCGGCGACGATGAGGCGGAGAATGGGTCACAGCAGAGCGACGGCGACGAGCCTGAGGCCAAGCGCTGGTACGTAAGCCCCAGATTCACTACTCATTCACAAGTTGAGCCGTATTTTCTTGTTCCTAGAACTCATATGCAATCAGGAAGGAGGATGGTGCATCTGTGCCTAGAGGGACAGCGATGCACGCTCTCTTTCGATTTGGCGTCTGTGCAGAACTACAGATGGGATTATGCTACTTGTCTCTTTACAAGTTGACTACCAATATGTGTTTGCAATTACTT